CATAAGGTTTATATAACCATTCTATTACCCATCTTTGGATTTTCTTAATAGCTTGAATATATTGATATTTTTTCCAGGCTTTCCAGGCTTGCTGAATTATCCTGACTGGCTCATCACAAAATAGGTGAAGTATACATTCTTGATCATTACAGGCAGTACTACGAGTCAGATAATACATTTCTCTATTAAACTTACCTTTTTCAAGTTCTTTTATACTTCGTGCAATTTTGTCTATATCACGTTTCTGAGATTTAATGACTTTAAGTACCTTATAAGGAATATCATCATCAACTTCTTCTGAGCATGAAGATTTTATACATACTTTCATAATTGATTGGGTTTGTTCTAGACTAAGATGGTTATATGTCATAGATACAAAGTCATCAACATCAAAAAATTCTAGTGCTTCATATGCACGAAAACTAGATACCCAGTTTCTGGGAAGTAGGCGAATAATTTTATAATCAAAGCTAGTCATTATTAGTTAGATACTTTAGTACGGACTCAGTTTTATTTATTTTTTTGATACAGGCAGGTTATGCTTTAGCACCTTCGGCCAGCGCAGTACGATCAAAGAATTACATAATTGAATTGGGCAAACTAACTAGTAATGGCTAGAAAATCTAGAAATAATCGTTGTAAGACTGCTGGTAAATTTACTACTAACCCCACACAGTATTTGCCATTATGCAATTCGACCAAGTATGATCACATATATGATAGGGCAACTGGCCTTATCACTGTCAAGAATATAAGACAGGATAGGATTGTAGGCGTGTTCGATTATCCTGAACTGTGCGAATATCTGGCAGTCCAATCCAACTAGCCCGGATCAGGCTCGGCTAATTTATTTTTTCGATTAAAGATACAGCATATAATACAGACTATTTAGCCAGAGGCACTTCGCATGACGCATTCAACTATCTTTTATTTACCAGAACTATTAGAACAGATTTTACATTTTTTAGCAATAGATAAATCTCTCTACCCCGCTCTATTTGTTAGCCAGCTTTGGTACAGATGTGGTGCTCCTATCCTATGGAGGCGTATCGAGCTAAAGGGAAAAGTCTTATATCCTGGGCAATCTCTTCCAAATGATTATAATTACTGTACAAGGGATCGCCCTCGATTTAATAAATTCATAAGGATAGAACATACAAAGGATTTCTATCAATTGAAAAAATTCATAAAGCTAGTACGTAGGAAGCAAATGCCAGTTTATTGCTCAAGTGTAACCCATCTCGAAATATCATACTACCATTCACTTTCAGATAAAAAAATCATAAGCATTGTACATTCATGCCCAAATATAGTCCATTTGAGTTTTGAAAATAGCATAGGATTTAGTAATAGAGCATTAGAACTGATAGCGGGTTCATACCCAAATCTGAAGTATCTCAATCTGTGTGATGATCAGTCAGGTGACTTTAGGAGCTTTCGTGCTCGAGAAGTGGATGATGGAGGTTTATGGAGAATCGCAAAGTCATGCCATAAATTAGAATATTTAAATATTGCCTATTGCACAGAGATTACTAAACATTCAATTTGCGGTATTATTCGTTTCTCTCCAATGCTCCAGCATCTTGACATTACCTTTTGTAAAATTATTTCTGATATGACTATCGAAGAAATTGCTAGATTATGTCCCAATTTAAAATATCTTAATTTAGAAGGGTGTTATAATATTAGCAAAAAAGCCGTAGATCAGCTCGTTTCACTTAATCCAAATATCCATATCGAAAATTTTGAGGAAACTTTAACACCTCCCGATTTCATTCATCTGGAATTTAAATGCGGCGTAATATTCCGTAGATTTACGATTTTTGTAATATTTCAGAGTATTATGTTGTAAAACTACGTAAGTTTACGAGT